TCCGTTTGGTGTTCGGCTGAGTTCTTTATCTCTTCATTTGATGTTCTAGGGTTTCAGGATTGTTGATTCTCTGTTTGGCTTAGTTTTTCGGATCTTTGTTTTGGAGGGACAGCGTGGTGTTTCTGCCTAGAGCACCATCTTGCCGGAAGTCCTGTCCCTTTGTTTTTTGTTTTAAATTTTAGAATCATCCTGTCAAGTTGCACAAAAAATCCTGCTGGCATTTTTGCTCGAATTGTATGGAATTTATTTGGAGTCTGTAGATGAATTTCAGGATAATTGACATTTTAGGATATTAAATTTACCTATCCATTCATTCATTTAATGTTTACTGAGCACATGTTATGTGATGATGCTGGTGGTGGAATGAGATTGCTTCACAAGATAGACTGAGATCTCTGCTGCTGTAGAGTTTATATCAGTTCCTGATCGCTAATGAGATTGTGCATATTTTCCTGTCTATTTGCCATTCAGTTTTTCCTCTCTTCTGAAATGCTTATCTCATCGTCTTCTCTGTTTTCTATTGAGATGTTTGTCAATTTCTTATTCTCTAGTAGAAGTCTAGAGGTGATGTAGCTAGTAGTTTATCTTGTAGACTGGATACAGCTTAACAGTTTATCTTGAATATGACACTCTTGATAGGGGTAATAAATGTTGCACATATTTTCTCCAGTTTGTGGATTGTCCTTTAAATTTCTTTATAGTGTCTTTTGATGACTAGAAACTATTGTAATTTTAATATAGGTGAATTTATCTGTCTTATAGAGAATTGTCTTTTTTTTTTTGGTTTTTTATTAGCGATTGCCCCGTCTGAGGTCATAAAGATATTATCTTACGTTTTCTCTAAACCTGAATAATTTTGTACTTCACATTTAGGTTTTTAATCTCTTTGGGGTTGTTTTTTATGTGGTATGCAGGGTGGACTCATTCCCACCTGCTTCCCTTTTTAAAAATTTATCTAATTGTTTACTCAGTAGTTCGTACTCTGCCAATTTTTCGGGCTCCTTTTATCAAAGTTTCATTATATATGCATGGGTTTGTTTCTGTACTCTTTGTTCCATTGGTCAGTGTATCATTGCCTGCAGTAACAGCACTCTTTCTTTGGCTTTATGCATCTTATTATCTTGTAGGGCAAGATTTTGCCCCTTATTTTTCTTTGGGACTGACTTGGCTATTCTCCTGCCTTTACTTTTTCTTACACACTTCAGACTTATCCTGTTGAGTTCCCCAAATAGCATACTGGGATTTTGATTGGAATTGAATTTTTAGATGACTTTCCAATATTGAGTTTTCTTATCTATAAAATAAGGTATATTTATTTGTCTTTAATGTCTTTTAATAAAATTATTTTTAAAGATTTTCTGTAATGACATATATTTTTATTTTTTTGCTGTAACAACCTGACGAGGCCCTTGAGAAAATTATTGACTAGAAAACAGTGATAGTAGGCAATGTCATCATAGTCTTTAATTTGAAAACAATGCTTTTGACCTTGAACATTAAATGTGATTTTTTGTAGCTGTTCTTTGTTAAGAAAGTTCCATTTTGTTGGTTTGTCAAGAATTTTTTATTTTTTAAATCAGTTTATCAGATGCTTTTTGTGCATCTCTTGGTTATTTGCTTTTCCTCTTTTTAGTTTATTAATGTGAGGAATCCCATTTATAAATTATCAAATGATATATCATTCTTGAATTCCTGGGATAAATACAAACTTGGTGATGATCATTTGTATATGGTTTGCTAAAGTTTTTAGGATCTATATTGAGATTTGTTTAACTTTCTTTTTGTGTGTGTTTTTTGTTTGGTTGTTTTTTGTGTTGTTTTGCTATTAAGTTATACGGTTCTTATACAATGAGTTGGATAATGTACCTCCTTTTCATTTATTCTGGAAGAGTGTGTGCCAGATTAGAAGAATATAAGTCTGGCTGCACTACTTATTGGCTAAATGACTATTAGTTAGGACTTTTGATTGTGCTTCCTTAACAGACCAAATAACTGGTTTAAATAAGAAGTTTAATTTTCTCTGACGTAAGAGCCCGAGCTGGTAGGTGAAAGCAGAGGTGTAGGGCTGCTCTGTAACACAGAGCAAGTCAAAGGGCCCACATACCGTCTGTCCTGTTTCTTTGCCGTTCCCTAAGGTGGTGCCCCTGCCTGCATTACAGAGATAATTTATTCCTGCCACGTCCTCATTTCAGCTTGTAAGGTGGGAGCAAGCCAACAGAGGGCTAGCAGTTTCCTTTTAAGGGCTTGACCTGGAAAGTGTACTTCTGCTCACATCTTATCACCCAGAACTAAGTAACATGGCCAAGGCTGAGAAATACATTCTTTGATGGGTGCGCGTATGCTTAGCTACATCTTGAGGGTTCTGTTACTAAAAGAAAGAAGGGAAGAATGTGGGGTAGGCAGTTAGTAAGTATTTATCAAATGATTCTATAAAATGGAGATAATATCCCTGCACTTATGAGAATTAAATAAAAGAATGGATGGACCATCACTAAAATGGCATCTGACCCAGAGCAAGCGTTCAGCAATTACTAGTTTGCTTTTCATTACAAGCCTGTCCTGAAACCTGATTGTTTATACCATCTTCTGGACCATGGTTCTTTTCTATCCAAGATTAAACACAATGTTATTTTTAATGCTTTTTGACTTATTTAACATTTAATTGTCTTTATACTCTCATTTGATACAATCATTAAACATTGATTAAAGTGTTAGATGTCATAAAAGTATTTCTTTTCCGCAAGTGTCATCTTAAATACAGTTTTGTTTTACACACATGGAACCATATTTTTAATTTTTTTTCTAAGCAGTGATTTTGTGGCATTTTTCCATTTCAATAAATGTAAGTCTCTAGATCATTTTTAATAACAGCTTTATTGAAGTATATTTGACATACAATAAAGTGCTCATGCAATAAACTGCAACATATCAAAGTGTACAATTTAGTAAGTTTTAACATTTATACACCTGTGAAACCATCACCACAATCAAGACAGTGAACATATCCATCCCCTCCAGAAGTTTGCTTGTGCTGTTTTGTAATTTCTTGCTCCCAACCTCCCTGCCCCAGCAATATAGGTCTGCTTTCTGTTGCTATAAATTAGTTTACATTTTCTAGATTTTTATATAAATGGAATCTAGTTTCTAGTAGCATTTTTAATGGCTGCTTGGTATTTCCTTGTCTAGGTGGACCATACTTTATTTAATCAATCCTCTATGCTGTACATTCAGATTGACTTTCCCTCCTCCCCCTTATAAACTGTGCTTTCAATAATAGCAAAATGTAGATACGAGGGTAGACATCTGGAGCCACTTGTCCTTAGGATAAAATTCTGAAGGTGTTTTGCTAAATCAAAGGCTGTTGTACCTTTTAAAGATGATATATGCCAAGCTACCTTGAGACTAGTCAGTTCACACTATCACTAAGCTGTTCCTAGTGACACCGTTCCTTCTCCAAGAATGAGCTTTGTCATTAAAAAGTAAGTTTTTTAGTTTAGTTGAGTAAGTTTTTTAGGGCAAAATGAATATCTTGTTTTATTTATAGGTGTTTTTTCCCTCCTACTGGTGATATGTTATGGAGATACTTAAAGGTGTTCCCTGTGGATAACCCAGGCTGCACATCCCCTTTCCTTATATTTTAATGAGTTAACTTTTAACAGAAGTCTCGGTTATGCATACTATTCAATGTCATGTTTAATACAAACTGTAATTTTGGTTGGTTTATCTAAATAATTGTCTTGTGTTCTTTTTCAAGGTTTGTTATTGAACTTTGTGAACCAATTCAAGTAAAACAGCTTGATATTGCAAATTATGAATTATTTTCTTCTACTCCTAAAGATTTTCTGGTTTCTATCAGTGACAGGTAAATTCTAAATCTGGTTTCTATAGGATCTGTGTTAGATCTCCAGAATAAAAATTTTAAGAATGGGTCGCTCTTAGCTTCAGTCATTTTATTTTTTCTTTTAATGTATCAGTTTATAATAGTAGTAATAGTACCACTGTAGGGTAGGCACTTGTTAAGCTCCTTACTTTCATTAACTCATATAATGCTTACAACAGCCATGTGATATTATTCACTTATAAGATGAAGAAGCAGACAAGGAGAGGTTAAGTAGCTTGTCTAGGTCACATGACTAGTGAGTGGAAGAGCTAAAATTCAAATCTAGACCTGTGTAACTTCTAAGCCCTTATTTTTAATCATTACGCTGTATTGCATCTAAATATTTCTTTACAAAGTTGTTAAGAACAAACAAGTGCTTCATTTTATATCATGAGGTATACTTTTGTTAAAATAGATTTTGAAACCTTTTTTTGTGTGCCTGGGTGGTGATAAAAGAAATATACATTGTAAAGAATTTGGAAGAGAACCACAATCCTATTGACCAAAGATTATTATTGTTGTCATTCCTTTTGGTCTTTCCTATGTATTTATTTATTAATTCTACAAGAAATTATTTAGTTTTTACTTCTTTACATCCTGAGACTGTCCCTTTGTTTTAATCACACATTTTTGATGAGTACCTAATATTTTTCCCCAGGGGAGATGTTTATTCATTCCATAAGTACTTTTTGAGTGCCCACAATATGCCATGTAGGACACCATTATTTAGTTAACCGTTCTTCTATCATTGATCATTAACAGTTTTTCCAAGGTGTTTCTTCTCTCACCCCACACTCAGCGTTGCCTTTAGTTTTTGAAATCAGTTCTCAAGACCCTTTTGAGAATTCTGTTCCTTTTTCTGCCACTAGCCTTCCTCAGATTGCTTCCTTTTCTCTAAGCTGCAATTTTCCCATGTGCCAAATAGACGAAGCGAGCCCTGACAGACAATGTCTATTTTACAATGTTTTTTTTCTGTTTATTTTTCCATCAACACTTGTGTTTATATATACTCTTCAGTATATGAAGAGTCATGCTTCCTTTTGCCAAGACAATCTCTTGGTTATTTTCTGTTTAAAACCTCCAGCTCACTTGGAAGCCCTGCAGACACCAAGAGATGGCTCTGGTCCAGCTTTTGCTTCTTCTTGTACTCCCTTGTAGTTGATAGTGGTGTGATTTTTCAAAGTCTTCCTTCCTAGTAAAGAGGAACCTATCAGTGTTTAGTTGGGGGAACAAAAAGCATTTATTTAACTCAAGGACCTGTCATGTTTAAATTGTGTTAGATCAGTATGTTTGCCTGAAAGGGAGAAAATATATACAGAATACATTTTGAAGATGTGATGGAACCTCTCGATATATGGTTTATGATTTAAAAAAAAAGAATATATCTGTCTTATATTTTCTAGATATCCCATAAATAAATGGATTAAGCTGGGTACTTTCCATGGTAGAGATGAGCGGAATGTGCAGAGTTTCCCTTTAGATGAACAGATGTATGCAAAATATGTGAAGGTAATGTTTACACATACAGGACTATGTTCTCTAATGCATACATACCTGCCATTCATCCTTTTATAAATCAGAACAAGTAAGAGGAAATGTACTGCCATGTACCATTTAGTAAGATAGTTCTTACTTGGATATATTATTTCATAAGACAAATATTAATACAGCCCCTTTTCAATAATTGGAAATCTAGGCCTGTGTTTTTGTTATTTGTGGCTCTGATGAAATTCCAAATTATGACTTAGGTTTTTTTTTTTTTTTGAGTCTTTATGTCAGATGTCATCTTTATAGTATTGTATTTCTGTTTTGAAACCTAAATCATTGTTAATCACGAAAATCTTTAAAACAGATCTGATTTCTTATTAGAATATGATTCTTGGATAATTTGTTTTAATATCCAATTATCTGGCATTATCATCAATGGGCTTTTGTCCTTTGTATAATCAAGTGAAATATTCTGTTAAAATACCAGTTTCAAATAAAATAAACTTTTAAACATTTATATTCTGTATTCCCTTCTGCTTCCTCCATCAACAAATTAAGTGGAATTATAGGTACTGAATTGGATTTAGACAAAATAGAAAAAGTTTCTGCACCCCTCCCCTTTTCTTTAAAATAATAACAACACCTTAAAATACGACTGTGTTGATAGTAAGACCTTTTGGAATGGCAGCAGCTCTATCTTCTTTTTCTTCTTTAAATATGAGAACTCATAGCTATCTAATTGTCTTCTTGGATTTTACTGTCTATATCTTTTTAAAGCATGTACTAAATTGGTTTTTATAAATGGATAAACTTGTAATATTCCTAGTCTAAGTATAAAAATGCTAAATTATATTTTAAAAATATAGTCGATATTCTCAGTTAATGATTCAACAGTGTTCAGAAAAATGAAGATATATTTTCAGTTTCTTTTTAAGTGAGTACTGAAAATTAATGATCATTTGTATAGAGAGGGTACAGTTTCTATCCTGTGGGGAAAAAAATATTAAAAATTATTTGCCAGGTGATACAGTTGTATTTAATTTTACAGTTAAGGTAGTTCACATGTTACTAAATAGTTCTGAGAATCATTCTTTATACCATCTACTTTATTAATAATGGAAGAATGTTTTATCAGTGGCATGCAAAATGCCATATTAAAACTCCCTACCTTGTCCTTTTTATGCTGGGAGGCTATAGAGCATTTTGGTGTTGATTGGTTTTATAAAAAGCCCTCTTTGGTACAATTGAGTCTAAAAAACAAAAAACATTTACTTCTGATTCTCATTTTATAGTGATAAGTTTAATATGCTTTTACTTGGATTTTTCTTATTCCAAAAGAACTAAATCCCAAGTCTACAAACTACTTTTTAATGCCTTATGTTTTAAGTAGATTGATATTACATATCTTTCAATTTTGTAGGTTATACTTGAAGTAACATACCATATCAAAAATTCATGCTGTCCCTGAAACAACTTGTATACAATGTTGTACAAGTATAGATGTTTCATATTATGCCAGTTAATTTTTTATCAGTATGCATATACATAGATGTATATCCATATACGTATCAATAAATTCATGTATAGGTATATACATGATACATGCTTACAATATTTAAAGTAATATTAAGCACAGGTTATTTCTTTTTTTGGTGGGGGGCGCTAAAGCTATTAAGTCAAATGACCTCTGATTCACTGCTAATATTTTATGTATTTTATGTAAGAACCAATGAAATAAACCAGAGGTTATTTCTAGGTACTGTTAATTAGTTGGTTTTAGAATGCATTTATATGTATCAGATACGTAAAATATTAGCAGTGAATTAGAGGTCATTTGACCTAATAGCTTTAGTGCCCCTTTCCCCACCAAAAAAAATACTTGTCATCATCAAGATGATTCTGACTCATAGTGACCCTACAGGACAGAGTAGAACTGCCCTGTAGGGTTTCCCAGGATGTAATCTTTACGGGGGCAGACTGCTACCATTTTATCCCGTGAAGTGGCTGGTGGGTTCAAACTGCCAACCTTTCAGTTAGCAGCTGAGCGTGTTAACCAATGCGTTACCAGGTTCATTCAATAACTTTAAAGCTAATTTATTTCAATACAGTTATTTAGAGTTTACCTTCTGGTTGTGATGGTAAAAATTTAGATCACTGCTTTGATTTCTGCAAAGACTTAAGAATATTACAATGTTATCCATCACAGTACATTGCTGTCTATACTTTAATTGTACAATATAATTTAAAAATATTTAAAGTTGCTTATGGCATGTTATCCAAACTTTTGAGCTGATTTTCTTTTCCTTTCTCTTGCTTCAGATGTTCATCAAGTACATAAAGGTTAGCAACCTTCTCTTTTGCAATATTGAATAACAGGGCATGACATATTAATGCATGGGAAGAAAGCAAAACTTTACAAGTATTGCTTTCTGGGGAAATGAGGACTTTAGTTTTAGAAATGTTATAATGAAAAAAAAGCTGATGTGTAGTCTTAAGTAATCTCAGATGTGCTGTGTTGGCTTTCCGTTTCATGTGCTTTCATTCTTTAGGTGGAGTTTATATCACATTTTGGATCAGAACACTTTTGTCCATTAAGCCTCATAAGGTAATACAGAGCAAAATGTATTTACTGAATGGTTTTTAAAAATGTGTATGTGAAAATCCTACTATATTTAAAATGAAGAAATAATTTTCTATTATATGAGTTTAATACCATAGAAGTAAAGCTGGTAACCATTTTTTGTCTTGAATGCATTTTAGAGAAATGTCAAAATTTACTTTGTTAAGAAAACATAACCTTCATTTTATATGTTTAGTGTGCTTCCTGTTTTGCTAAGATGATAAAATATAGAAATATTTTAGACTGATATAAAAACTTGGTCATTATATTTTTAAGTGCCTCAAAGATTAATTTTACATTTTAATAGAAACAGTGGACGACTGCAATATAAGGAGCAGTCATTATTTTGGAATCCAAAAACTAATGTCCCTTAAAACATGACCCAAGTTGATCTGTTTTATCATTTAATATGAAAAGAGGAATTGTTTCAATTTGAAAGTCTTTAATGAAATTATTTTTCATAGGGTGTTTGGTACTAGCATGGTGGAAGAATATGAAGAGATTGCTGATTCCCAGTATCAGTCAGAACGTCAAGAACTATTTGATGAGGACTATGGTAAGTAAAAGGAGCCCTGGCGGTGCAGGGGTTAAAGCGCTCAGCTGCTAACCAAAAGGTCAGCAGTTCGAACCCACCAGCTGCTCCGTGGGAGAAAGATGTGCCAGTCTGCTTCTGTAAAGATTTACAGCCTTGAAAACTCTATGGGGCAGTTGTACTCTGTCCTATAGGATCGTTATGAGTCGGAATTGACTTGACGGCAGTGGATTTTTGTTTTTGGGGTTGTTTTTTTTGGTTTATGGTAAGTAACTTTAAAACAGGTGACTATTATGTATGTCTTTTGCTTTTTAAAATAATTCTAATAGTAATGGGTAAGTATACGTCATTTAAAAAAATCAGTGTGATTATCTCTAGGCATTAGTTTGATTTGTTGTTTTTAACCCTAATACCAGCTTTTCCTTAAACCTGTCTTTCAATATGATTCTTTACTTTGTACATTTAGTTATATTCTAAGTTTATCAATCAGTTATTTGTAACTGGGAACCCATTTCCATAACATCAGTGCTATGATTATTTCCTTATGCCAGGCCCAAAACCCTGTTAAACTCATAAAAGTAACTGAAATAGTAGAATTGGGCATTAATTCCTTTGATTTGCACTGAACCTAAGAACAAGCTCATTGAGGGCTGAGCCTTTGAGAAAATCCTATGAGCGTGAAGGGGAAGGAGAAGATTTTATGACACTCTCCATTTCTGCTTTGTCGGGTCTTTATTTTAAGATGTCTTATTTTGGTTTTAACCATTCTAAATTTTCCCTAACCTAGTTTTCCCATCATTGTGTAGATGTTTGCTAGGGGTTGGTATAATACATTGAAAGCTTGAATAAAAGTCATGTAATGTGGTTAAAGTTTTGGGTAAGCAGCAGAATTCTTTTCCTTGATTTACGTCTTTGTATTAAATGACTTCTGAATCTCATTTTCTCTTTGTGAACATGTTTTAGATGTCTTATTAATATTACAAAAATATGTTATAAATGCCAGCTGACTTTGAGAGGACATAATTGGAGCTTTTAAAAGGTTATTATTGGAGATAGGTCTTAATGTAATTACTTTCATTTTCTCTTTAAACAGATTATCCACTAGATTATAATACTGGGGAGGATAAATCCTCAAAAAATCTTCTTGGTTCTGCTACAAGTGAGTATTTTAGGATTTTTCTATAATTGGTATTGGGTAGTCTACTATTAAAATGTTTCTAAGCTTTTTCATTTTGACATACATGGACATTTTGTTGTATAATTTAGGAGGTTCCCACTTCCAATGTTATACGTTCATTTGAAATCAGAGATTTTGAAAAGTATTTCTGTGGAAATAAAATAGGAAGAGAGGATGAAGAGAGAGAGGAGAGGGAAAAATGGAAGCATAGTAAAGGTGGTTTTTCTTTTTCAATTAAGCACTCAATTTTTGAGGCAAAATCTGCCTTATAATAGAGAAGTGAGGGATATGAATTTATTTGAGGAAAGAATTATTAAAGAGGTCCTAGACTTGGAATTGACTCAATGGCACCAGGTTTGGTTTTTGGTTTTTTAGACCATATGTTGGGAGTATTTGGGTAATCATATACTGCATGGGAAAGGAGTTTGAATGAGAGTTTCAAGGCTGGTATGCCAAGTGAAACCCTAGCAAATGAGGATTTGTTAATTTATGGATATGGTTAGTTTCCTATTTTAAAATATAAAGGCTATCCTTATCCGTAATAATGAGTAACAAAACAATAATAGTAATAATAAGAATATAGTCTTTGTAAAACCAAGAAACAATGGCTAGGATACTAGCAGTTTAGTTTGTTGTTGGCATTCCAACTTAGTATGTGAGCCTAGTGGTAGTCTAGGTAAGGAGTCTGTTGGCAAGACCATTACCAACTGGTGCTTTATTATTAGAGTGTGTGTAGGTATATTTTAATGTGTTTATTATTTTTGGTTATTCCTGAAATTGGCAGGGTTTTTCTCTTTATTTGGAGATTAATAATTGAATTTAAAAAATAAATTTATTAATAGGATTGATGACTTGTTGCTCATGCATTTTCCTTGTTGCTCTTAGTGAATTGAATTGCTTAAATCTCAGTCTCACTGTGAACATTGATTTTATAACTTTTTAAAATGCTTGACCAGTAGTGCATGTACTTAGCCTGGTATTTCGTATAGCCACATTACATGGACTTAAGAGTTACTTCTCTTTCTTTCTATCTTGTCTTCCTTCCCCTTTTCCCATCCACAGAGGACTTTGAACTTCAGTGGACTTTTTAAGGGATGGGCAGAAGAGTGTTAAAAATACCTTCATAAGGAAAATTATTTTATGTAACATTTCACTTTATTATGTATCAGCTCAGTGTTTATTGCTGGGCATCTGACTTTTTAGATGTTAGTTCCTACTTTTAAATAGGATTCCTAGCTATGTAGTTGATCATGGTATAAAAATAAATGCCTTATTCACTGCTGTGGGGTATAGTTTTTTGGGAGTGAAAGGAATTATGCAATTTTATCTGTGTATTAATACTGTTGTTTGTGTCCTTAAATTTGTATTAAACAGTTCTACATGTCAAGTAATAGTCATCATTCTACCACTTGCATAGCTGAATAATGCTAAATTGACTGTGAGGAAGCATCATTTTTGGGGGTCAGAAAATAGCCCAAGACTAAAATATCTCCAGCTTCTGGTGGTTACTGAAAAGTAGAGAGCACCTTAGGGAACTCATGCCTTACTATGCTTTTAGATACAGAAAACTGCTGCTCATGCTCTGGGTTTCCTTTTTCTGTCTTCTTATGTGATTAATTCCTTTTGTTGTTGTTAGCTGCTGTTGCAACTCATAGTGGCCCCATGTACAGCAGAATGAAATGTTGCCTGGTCCGGTGCCGTCTTCACTATTGTTGATATGCTTGAGTCCATTGTTGTGGCTGCTGTTACTTTGAGTGCCTTCCAGTTTAGAAGTCTCATCTTTCAGCACTGTATTGGACAATATTCTGTTGTGATCCATATGGTTTTCACTGGCTAATTTTCGGAAGTAGATCTCCAGACCTTTCTTCCTAATCTTTCTTAGTCTGGAAGTTCCACTGAAACTTGTCCACTATGTGTGACCCTGCTGGTATTTAAAATACTGGTGGCATAGCTTCCAGCATCATGGCAACCTGCAAGCAACCACAGTACAACAAACTGACAGACAAGTGGTGGGATTAACTCCTAGACACCTTTAAAAACCTAGCTGTATTTCAATGGAGGATATCTCTCTGTTCATAATGACTTTTCTGACTAATGTACTATTTTAATTAATTAGACATAGAACATTCTTTAGAGCCTACTTTTTGGATCTTTGTCCTTGAAGGTATGATTCTTGGGACATGTCATTTATTTTTCTGTTTATGGCTATCGGGAAGAGCAATTCATTTACCTTCCAGTGTTCTACGTGTCAGAAGAGTTTGTATAGTGAAACAAGTTGGGTGGAGGGTGTCAGCTGAAGCTAAGTATGGAAAATTGGGTTTAAAAGGATCTCTTCCTCTTCAAAGTTTCAGAGACAGAGAGGCAGTGGAAGCTGAAGTGGTAAGACTTTGCCATCATAAAACTTGTAGACATGACCCAACGCCTTCTATACCTGTGTTCTTTTTTAGTCTTCTCTGAAGATTCTGGGCCTATTTTTGCCCTAGCTACCACCTCCAAGGTGGCATAACTTTAAGTAAGTATAAATAATAGAGTGGAATCAGGCCAAAGAGCTGGTCTCTTAGACTAGAACGTCCAAGTTTCACTATGATCCTTATTACTTTCTAAATTAGCTTGAGAATTGTCTAATTAATTTTTCCTAACTTTCAGTATTTATACATTATCTCCAAAACAGAATTCTATTTTTTTAATCTTATTAAAAACCCTTTTTTCCCTTTTTGCAACTAAGTAGTTAGTAGTAATAGGCAATATATGTCACCAGACATGGTCAGAAATGGCTATTCACACTGGTGCTTTCTCTCAAAAGAGGAAAAAATAAAACAGGCTATTCTCTGTGTTTATCAGTGTTCTTTGAACCTAGCAAAATTTTTTCGTAGAGGTTAGATGGACTAAGAAAGTAGAAATTTGCCAAATTTTGCTTTTGTTACTAAATAGCCCCTGAAATGATAATAAACAATATTTAAAAGAGGGGGGGATAGTTTATTGTAGCTGCTAGCATTAAAATTGGATTGAGTGTGTGATCAATTTCAGAGAGCAGAAGTTGGTAAAAATCTTCAATTTCTTCATCTTTGACCTTATGGTTGGTGCATCAGTTTGAGTAATAGTCATATTAACTGGTCTTTTCTTGTAGGTGTATGGATATTAACCTATCGTTGACAGCATTGTACTTCAGGATAGATCTTGCAGTGTTCTTTTTGATGATGAACGTGATGCCATTGCTCCTCGATTTATCATTCCTGGCATAGTAGACCATGTGATTGATTCAGAATGGCCAGTACCAGTCCCTTTCAGCTCACGTATGCCTGGGATATCAAACTTTGTGTTCCATTTCATTTTTCACAACTCCCAATTTTCCTAGATTCATACTTTATACATTTGCAGCTGTATTCTCATTTTGAGTCATACCGCATCAGTAAATGAATGTCCTGACAGCTTGACTCCATCCAGTCATTAAGGTTGACTCTACTTTGAGGAGGCAGCTCTTCCCAGTCATATTCTGAGTACCTTCAAACCTGAGGGACTCATATTCCAGCACTCTGTCAGACAACGTTCTGCTGCTTACTATTCATAAAGTTTTCACTGGCTGATTTTTTCAGAAGTAGACTGCCAGGTACTTCTTCCTAGTCTGTCTTAGTCTGGAAGCTCCTCTGAGACCTATCCACCAAGGGTGACCCTGCTGGTATTTGAAATACCAGTGGCAAAGCTTTCAGTGCACAGCAACACACAAGACACCACAGTATGACAAACTGACAGGCATGTGGTGGACACATTGATAATTACTGGCAATTGGAATACAAAAGTTGGAAACAAAGAAGGATTGGTAGTTGGAAAATATGGCCTTGGTGACAGAAATGATGCCAGAGATTGCATGATAGAATTTTGCAAGAGCAATGACTTCTTCACTGCAGATACCTTTTTTCAACAACATAAGTGGCAACTAGACACATGGACCTTGCCATATGGAATACACAGGAATCAAATCACCATACTTACACAATCTTTTTGCTGAGCATATAGTCCGAGAAGCTGGACATCAGGATTGGAGGAAGACTCATTAACAACCTGCGATATGCAAATGGCACAACCTTGCTTGCTGAAAATGAGGAGGACTTGAAGCACTTAACTGATGAAGATTAAAGACCACAGCCTTCAGTATGGATTACACTTCAACATAAAGAAAACAAAAATCCTCACAACTGGACCAATAAGCAACATCATGATAAATGGAGAAAAGATTGAAGTTGTCAAGGATTTCATTTTACTTGGATCACACTCAGCGCCCATGGAAGCAGCAGTCAGAAAATCAAATGATGCATTGCGTTGGGCAGATCTGCTTCAAAAGACCTCTTTAAAGTGTTAAAAAGCAAAGGACTAAAATGAGCCTTACTGAAGCCATGGTGTTTTCATTGGCCTCATATGCATGTGAAAGCTGGACGATGAAATAAGAAGACCAAAGAAGAATTAATGCTTTTGAATTATGGTGTTGGTGAGGAGTGTTGAATATACCATGGACTGCCAGAAGAACGAACAAATCCGTCTTGGAAGAAATACAGTCAGAGTTGTCCTTGGAAGTGAGGATGGTGAGACTTCATCTCACGTCCTTTGGACGTGTTATCCAGAGGGACCAGTCCCTGGAGAAGGACATCATGCTTGGTAAAGTAGAGGGTCACCGAAAAAGAGGAAGACCCTCAAGATGGTTGCAACAATGGGCTCAAGCATAGCAATGATTGTGAGGATGGTGCAGGACCAGGCAGTGTTTTGTTCTGTTGTACATAGGGTTGCTATGAACTGGAACCGGCTCGATGGCACCTAACATCAACAACAACAGTATTAAAATTTAGGTTCAAGGTGGCACAAGTGGTTAAGCTCTTGGCTACTTATTGAAAGGTTAGATTCAAGTCCACCCTAAGAACCAGGGCCTCTTCTCTGATTATGAATACCACTTTGCCAGGTCAAAGGGCAAGGTTAACCTATAACCCTAAACT